TTTTCTAAATTTTCAAAGAAGCATTTGACAGTCACATAATCTAAGAATTCTAAGCAAGCTTAGCTGTCATGGCAGAACGCTAATGTCTTCTTATGGAATAAATCAGGGATTTTTTTTTTTAATAATGATGCTAAATTAATCAACAAAAAGTGCTTTTACAACAGCACTGAAGGAATGATCCAATGTCATATTGATAAGCATAACGATAATAAACAAAAAACAAAACTACGTTACAGACATAAGAATACCAAAAACACTGATCATATTGCTATAGTCTTCTTCTTTACCCTTTGTCTAAATACTCACATACTGAACTTAATACCTACCCATTGTTGCAAATTCGTTCCTTCCAATGTTATGTAATACTTTTAGACAGCCCCTATGCCCAAAAAATTCAGAATTATTCAAAGGGATTGAAACAAAAGACATTGTATGGAGTTCCTGAAAAAGAAAAATTTTTGAACTGTGTACATGGGCATCATAGTAAACATTAAGTATACCGTATATATTTGTGGATAAGCTGAGAATTTTAGGTGTCAAAATACACCCAAAAAGTCAGGTTCAGCTTATCTGTGGATAGGCTTATCTGCGAGTATATACAGTAATACTTTTAAAAAATACCCATATTTCCCATACATACTTACATATAGGCCCATCCACAGATAAGCCAACCCTCTAACTTTTTAATCAAAATACCATGGAAAATACAGGTCGGTTTATCTGTGGGTGGCACATTTTCCATGGTATTTTGGTAAAAAATTTGAGAGCCGGCTTATCCACGGATGGGCTTATATGTGAGCATATATGCCAAATATGAGCTTCATACTGGAGGGGAAAAGCCTTTAATGGTGAGAATGAATTGGGAAATTAACTAGAAAAAGGTTCTTGGGGCAGAGTGCTGAAAACTCCAAGCCACTCAATGGCTGCTGGGAAGAGCTGAGCTCCATGCTAGGAATCGAAAATATGGTGTCACTGTACCAAGAATGGGTATACAATTTGGGTCAACAGAAAAGGTGTAAAAAGTGACTGACGGCTACAACTGTTAGGTTTTTATTGCCTGTAAGCTACTTGGGGAGTCTAACAAGCTGTTCCACTTAGGCAGCAAGCTAGTCCGCTTGAACAGATATGGTCGCTCCAAACATTCAAAAGGACACAGCGTCTTAACACTCTGAGGAGCAAGTTCAGAGGGCTGCTTCACCTGTTCCATGAAGCACTCCCCCAAATGCTTTGGACAACCCTAACAAACATTATTAATATTAAAATAAGACTCAGGCAAGGGAGATTGGATCTCTACATACAGCACTAGGTAGAAATACAGCATCCCTTCAAACTCTGACTGGTTGGGAAGCTTAGTAGAATCGGGTCTGGTTAACACTTGAATGGAACTCCTCTAGGGAATTCCAGGGTTGAGGACAGACTGGGAAGTCAAGGAAGCATTCCCAGAAAAAAACAAAGGCTGAAGCTTTTCCATACTGTTACCAAGAAAACTATATGGCTATGTCCAGGGAGCTCCTAGGAGACAAACTCAATTTGGAGACTTCATATATATGCATATATATGTATGTATATGTGTGTATATATGTGTACACACACACACACATCACCCTCCCACCCACCCCATATATAAAATGGTAAAGTGAATGCCACAACAGATACCTAGTGACTTATCAATATCCCTAACATATTGAGGGACAATCTCTGATAGGCAAGAAAGACTGTTTACTGAGATCATTATACCTAGAAATATTCTGATACACAGTTGTACGCTCCTCTTAAACTTTTATGGAACCAGACCTGTCAGCGGGGAGATGTAGCCATCAACTAGTCTCCCTCTGATTCATACATCAAGTTCCATTTTGAGAGATCAGTTTCCGTAAAATTGTTTATTCTTAGGCCATTTCTTCACTAGTGACTAATAACATCTTCACAGCATCACTCAGAGATCGCCAAAATGATTGAAACCCTGAATTCATTGTTATTACTTTGGCACATTGTTATACTTTGGTTGGATGACTTAAGATGTCATAAGTTGCTATTTGGAGAAATGCATTTGCTCGTTAGCTCCTGGTTTGGTTTGGTTTAACAAAGAGGGGACTCTCGTGAATGTTTAACTAGCTAAGGAACGAACAGGATGGAGACAATACACAGATCTCACAACTAAGGAAATAAAGCTATGGATGCCTCAGCCAGAAACATTTATAGTCATCAATGATGTAAAGTCTGAATAATCACACAGCTTCAAGTGCAACCTCTGCCAAACTGGGGCTAGCTAGCCTGGCTGGGAATTGCAGTCCCAGAGACTAGGCTAGCTGGGAACTGTGGGAGAAAAGCCCAGCCAAACTGGAAGATGTCTGCTTCAGAAAGGCAGCCTTAACCGATCGTCTAGGTATCGCTAACGTAGCTTCTCCACAGGACTTTGAGAATTAGAGGGGGACAGCAAAAATTCAGCAGCATTTGCAAACTCTAATTCTTTGAAAAAGCCATGACAGTTACTGGGAAGGGAATAGCGGAGCTGCTGCTATTAAACTTTATTGTATAGATTCAGCCTCAGACAATTAGCAAGAATACTTAAAAAAAAAAAAAAAACCCTCCAGACATCAGTAATGCCTTGTCAACAATTCCCTCACTTTATTAGAAACGATCATTGCTTGAAATGTGCTCCATAGTTAACATATATAAAGATCTAGTTTTCAGTTTAATGGAACAGTGGTCAATATAATCCAAATCCTGTCATGATTTAATGATTACAAGGGTTCTTTCTGCAGCAACAGAACAGCCTGAAATACTCAGCTAGGTATGCTATTAAGGGAAAGCAGGATAAATAAATCTTCAGTGCATTTGTAAAACGAGGAATTACTCATTTACAGTAAACCATGCAAGAAATCTATTTCATGATGTCAAGCAGCTACTTTAAAATATAAATCTGAAGATTGAGCACTGCATACTGACCCAGAGTATCAATTAGGAAATATTAAACTCTAGTTTTGTTACTTGATGTAAGCAATTTAGAAAGCCATTTTTTTTTTCATTTTCAGAAGATACGCAGCAACAGATGCTGCTCTTTCGAGTCTTCCCAAAGAACAGCAGCATTGTGGCTAGTGTTTCAATGCACAATTAATTGTGATTAAACTTGCCTTCCCTTTGCTATTAATAAAATAAGCTGTTCACATTGGCAATTTGATTCTTATTACTAAAAGGCATCTAACTCTAGAAAATCTCAAGCTCTTCCTTTTAGAAAAAGCCGCATGCCACTCACCCACAAAAAATGCAACAGCCATATTCAGCTCTTTGGTTATATTTATACTCAAACAGAAATGTAATTCAGGGCATTCTGAGGTATGGCTGGAAACATCTGTTAGAAGGGTCAAAAAGCCATGCTTCTGCATACATAACCATCAGAGTTAAATGCCTGCGTTCATTCTTAATTCAAATCACTAACTCATTCTCTAGCCGAGGAATGTGCAAAATCAATCATTCTGTGCTGATCAAAATGTTCTGAAGGCTTTCCTGCAGTTTTCTGGAAGTTAATTCTCCCAACAGGAAGCAGTCCACATTCTGGAACAGCATGAATGCTTTCCTGTTTCCAGAAAATCCCTGGAGGCCAGAGTCCCTTAAACGGTCAGATCAGTTCTCTGCAAGATTCAGTTCCCAGAAGATTAGGTTTTGCACATACAGTGGTACCTCTACTTACGAACGCCCCTACTTACGAATTTTTCGGGATACGACCAGCTCCGGCCCCAAAGATTTACCTCTACTTACGAACTCGCCTCGACTTACGAACCGGATCCGCGGCCATTTTCCGCCCGTTCCATGTGGTCCGTGGCCATTTTCCACCCTTGACACGTGGTCCGCGGCCATTTTTCCGCCCTGTCGCGTGGTCAGTGGCCGTTTTTCCGCCCCGACGCGTGGTCCGCAGACGCCGGAACGGATTAACGGTAATTACATTGAACCTTATG